AATAAACATTTGAAATATATGAGTTTGTATGTAATGTATGAATATAATATACAAGTTTCTCTTTTTAAATGGAATTACTGAAATAAATCTACTTTTTCATGATATTCTAATTTTATGACCAGCACCTGTACATGCAACCATATTTCCTGCACAATGGAACACGAGAAACATCAGACATTGAAACTAATAAGTCATCCCATTAATCTGGAGAAAACAGCTCAAAGTTTTTTTTATGGCAATATGATGCAAAGAAGTTGATTCAGGGACAACAAAAGGCTGTTAAAGTAAGAATGTGAAGAAGAAACAGCTTGTTTCAGTATTATTTTCCAAAACACCAACCTGTTGCAGCTTCACTTCAGGTGACTTATTGCTCAGCTGTCTCCTGGATGATGATGATGATGATGATGATGATGATGATGATGATGACGATGTCTCGGCAAGCTGCTGTGTTGGTGCAGGTGGAGTTTTTCCCACATCGCCCAGGTGAGACTGCTCTGATCTGGACTTCACAGCTAAATAAACAAAAATCAGTTTCAGACTTGTTTATTTAAAGTCTTGGACATCATCAGACGTTTTGTCAAACCTGGGTTTTCCGGCAGTTTCTTGGCACCATTATTCTGCTGCTGATCTGGCGTCCTCTCCACGGACGGTCGTCTCTCACGGTTCCTCCTCGGCGACGGGCTCTTGTCGTACCTCCTCCGGTCTGAGAGTCGTCTCTCCCGGCTCCGTGAGCGGGATCGACTTCGAGCGGATGTAATGCGGCGATACCGCAACAAAATACGAGGAAATGGGAACCTGATGGAAATGATCAAATGATTAATCATTCAGAGGAATAGGCTTTTCATAAACAAACAAAAAGCCATGAACACACACAAAAAAACAGGAAAACAAATAGGTAGTTTTAGAAGAGAGTAAGATCTTGTCTCAAATTTAAAAGAACTGTCTAAAAACACATAAGTCCAAAGGGGTACCAGAGACAATAAGTTCAGTCTTGCTTTCTTTCAGGGTCAAACTATGGCGTTAACCAGGTTTAGCAACAGAGGCTGCAGTGACACAGAAACATTCAGTTTAAAATTTAAATATATATTAGGATGTCATCAGCATAACAGGTAACGTAAATGATATATTTTCTGAATATCAACCACAAAGAAAGTAAACATAAAGAGTAGAAGACCAAAAATGGACCCTTGAGGTATACCACGACTGACAGATGCAGAGAAAGAGGAGTAGTTTCCCACAGATACAAAAATGTAAGAACTGTCCAACAAAAAACAATTAAAAAGTGTTTTAAAGACCTACGATATCCTCAAGTCTGGATTTTAAAAAAATCCTGCAGCAGTTAAATCTAAGAGTCGACAGTTAAAAGATCAAAAACTCTTAAAGCTGGACCAGAACTCTTCACAAACAATAAGAGTATTCAACTCTGTAAAACACATCAGAACGAATCATTTTAAATCCTGATGAAAACATATTTAAAAACTTTTAGTAAATAACTCTTTTGTCCTTTTGTTTGAAATACAGTTGGAGCAGAAGCAAGAAAGGCTTAAGTATTTGTACTTTCGACTCCTCCGGCCCTGAGTCCAGTGGGGTAAGAGAAAAGCAGAGTGGGTCTTATGATGGTGGTCCTGGGGGCTCTGGACTGAAGTGGAGGTGTTTTTACCAGAAGAGCTTAAAACAGAAGAAGAAAAATGAAACATCAGTCGACTCCAAATCTAAAACTAATTATTTTTGTTGTTGATCTGAAGACAAATAAGACAAAGACACTCTTGGTTTCTGTTAAAAAAGTTCAAATTAATAAAAGTATACTTTTTACAACAAGATACTTGTATTTGGGGGTGTGAGGGTACATAAATCACAGCTCAGTGTTTCTCCCACTCTGGATAATTGATTTGTCTATTAAAGGTGTTTCTGTGTGACCCCTGCAGGAGTGAAAGTGAGGCCGTTATTTGACTGAGCTCTTGCTCATCTCAACCTGACGTGGTGTAATGACCAGATATGTGGGGCAGAATGAATCTTTGACCACTGGATGGACTAACAGTACCCGGTCAATGCTGTATGTAAATAAATGAACAGATAACTTTTCCTGCCAGTCGTGCAGAAACTTTGTCCTTCACTGTAACTCTCTGTCTGGTGCAAGATAATAAAATGTCTTTGATTAGTTTATTGTGTCTTTGTATTCATAAGGTTAGTAAAGACAAAAATCACATTTCTTCCCTGCATAGCTAATTTGAAGCTAAAAAGCAGATCTAAGCTTCTTGCTTCGTTTTATCATTTAGTCTTTATCTGGTAGAGAGCCAAAATAGACGTAAATGGTCCTGGTAGGCAGCTTTAAATCAACAAAATAAATAAACCTCATCACATTCATGATGGTTTTTTTAAATAGAAGAATGTAAAAAGAGAAAATACCGTTTGTGGGGGAGGTCTGAGTTGTCATGTTGAAGGTTGTACTGCTGGGTGAGCTCACTCTGTAAGAATGAAAATACTTCATTACTTTTGTCAAACTCTTGTTTCTGTTTCTTGTCACTGACTCAAAGGTTGGTCTCCAAAGTTTTTTTTAAACAAAAAGAAAAAAGGAATTCTAGTTAAACTAACATTCACCATTTCATGCCAAAAACCTCAGTCAAAAAAATGATTGTCCAACAAAGTTTAAAGTTGGTCAAATTATTTTCTAATTAAATACTAGAATGCTTAATGTTGAAAGATCTTTGCAGAAGAACAAGATGTACAAAATGTTTGCAATTTCTTGTAAAACAGCCAAAAATTAGCAAACAAGACTCTGAAAAAGCTGAATCTATCACAAAAAACCAGACACGTTTTAAGCATGTATGCTGAATTAAGCAGTAAGAAACTGAAATT